TATGTGAGAGGGAAAAGGGAACCTCATTCACTGTTGGTAGAAGTGTTGACTGGGCCAACATTTCGGAAAATAATCTGGACACTTGCTTAAAAAAATAGGAATAAAGCTTCCATGTGAACCAGTAATTCCACTTTTTGACATTCACCCCATTGGCACAAAAAATCTTCAGAAAAAACATTTTGCACTCCTTTTTTCATTGCAGCTCTATTGTTAGCCTAAATCTAGAAACATCCCAAATGTCTAAGAGTAAATCACTGGATTTATTAAGAAGCTATGGTACATTCCCAGGAGTGATATTGCTAGTTCAAATGGGATCTCAATTTCTAATTTTTTGAGAATCGTCCATACTGTTTTCCGTCATGAAATTTACAACAAGTGGTACTACATGGAAAGTATCATGCTAAGCGAAATGAGTCAGAAAGAGAGGGACAGACATAGAAAGATTGCATTCATCTGGGGAACATAAAGTAACAAAATAGGAGACTAACACCCAAGAATAGCCGAGATAAATACCAGGAGGTTTACTCCATGACTTGGAGGCCAGGCACACACTCTAGGGGTAAAGGCAGCTCAGATAGAGAAGGGAGCACCAAATAAAGTGTGTTGGGAAGATCTGCCCAGGATGGGAGATGCGTGCTGAAAGTAGACTATAGACCGAACATGATTGGTACTCAATTCTTCTTTTGCAAACCACAGCACCCAAAAGGAGAGAGAGAACAAAAGGGAGTGCCCTGCCACAGAGGCAGGGTGGGATGGGAGGATGGGGGGTGGGAGGGATACTGGGATTAGTGGTGGTGGAGAATGGGCACTGGTGGAGGGATGAGTACTCGATCATTGTATAACTGAAACCCAAGCACAAATATTTGTAAGTCTACAACTGTACCTCATGAAGTTTCACTAATAATTTTTTTAAAAGAAGCTTAAAAAATAAAAAAAGAAGCTATGGTACATATAAGCAATGGAATACTACTTGGCTATTAGAAAAGATGAAATAATTTGCTGCAATTTGCTGCTATGTGAATGGCTGGAGAGTGTCATATTGAGTGAAGTTGCTGGAAGGAGAGGGATAGACACAAATCATGATCACGATATCCTGTTGTTTGTCGATTGCCTTGAGCAGGCACTAGTAATGTCTCCTTCTTCCTAGCCCTGAGATTTTAGAAGAGCCATTTCAATGCTCTTTCAGGATTAGGAGAATAAGACACATCATTGTTACTGGTATTTGGCATATTGAGTATGACACGGGAAGTTTGCCAGATTCTGCAAAGCGGGCAGGATACTTTTGGTAGGCTTCAGAGTAAAAACGAGATAAGAAGTTCTCCAAAGTAAAAACGAGATAATAAGAAGTCGCGCATCCACAAATGCAGCCACATGCTTCTGGGAGCTGGGTTTTATAGTGTCTGAGTCTTGGCCATTGATGGGACGACCACCTGGCACTGGCGGCAGCTGGTGGATGTAATGCCTACCTACTGGAAGATGGGGGATCTGGGTGGAGAAGGCCCGGTCCTGATCCGAGTAGGCTTGGAGATCTCATCCCCGGGACCCGCATGCCTGGGTTCACCTGCCAGTTCTTTCATGCATGAGGCTTGTCTGGACGAGTGGAGAGTGGTCTCAGCATGGCTGTGGCTGGTTCCAAAGTTGCTGGAAGGAGAGGGATAGACACAGAATGATTTCTTTTGTAGGCTGTGTATAAAGAAACCTAGTAGGGGAATAACAAGTTGCGAACTGGTCTGTTGTAGGAAGCATATCACTGTATGAATGATGAGGGTGAAGGGAATAGGATGTTGTGTGGGCACTGGGACAATTGGTGGAGGACCTGGTGTTGAAATGTGTTATACATGAAACCCTACCATTAAAGGTGTTGTAAATCTTGGAGCCTAAAATAAAAAAAGATTAGAAAGCATACATAATAATCTATGAGACTATGATAAGAAGAGAGTGATTTTTTTATTGAATCAGAGTGAGATACACAGTTACAAATTTGTTCATGTTTAGGTTTCAGTCATATAATGTACCTGTACCTTCACCAGTGTACATTTCCCACCACCAATGTCCCCAGTTTCCCTCCTGCCCCCCAACCCCCTGCCTCTATGGAAGGCACTTTCTCTCTCTCTCTCTCTCTCTCTCTCTCTCTCTCTCACTCTCTCTCACTCTCTCTCTCTCTCTCACTCTTCTTTTGAATCTTGATTTTAAATACAGATACTGAAAGGTTATCAATTATATCCCTTTGCCTACTTTCTACTTCAGTTCCTGTCTAAAATGATAATTTTCATTTATTATTGCCATACAGGTCCCTTCTCTTCTCTAACTGCTTTTTGCCACCCAGACACTCTTGTGGTCAGCTTCCCACCATTGACCAGATATTCTGGTCCCTGTTTCATTATCTTCCCCGGTCTTGGATATTAGTCTCATACTATATGTATATATGAGACTATATATACGTCGATCCTGTTATTCGTCGATTGCCTCGAGCAGGCCCCAGTAACGTCTCTTTCATCCTAGCCCTGAGATTATATTCAGGGCTATTTAGGAGAATGAGACCCATCATTGTTACTGGTATTTGGCATATTTGGTACGCCACGGGGAGTTTGCCAGACTCTGCCCTGTGGGCAGGCTACATTCGATAGCCTGCAAGTTTGTCCAAATATATACGTATATATGTATATGTATATACTATCCCACAAATGAATGCGGTCATTCTATATCTGTCCCTCTCCTTTTGCCTCATTTTATTTAGCATGATATTCTCCATGTCCCCCTATTTATAAGCAAATTTCATGACTTTGTTTTTCATAATGGTTGCATAGTATTCCATTTTGTAGATGTACCATAGTTTCTTTATTCTGTCATCTGTTCTTGGGCACTTGGGTTGTTTCCAGATTCTAGCTTTTGTGAATAGTCTTGCAATGAACATAGAAGTGCAGATGATATTTCTGCTGTGTGTATTTGGGCCCCTAGGTTATATTCCCAGAAGTGGAATATATATTGCTGGGAGTTCAATTTCTAGATTTTTAGCAATGTCCATATTGTTTTCCAAAAGACTAAACCAGTTGTCATTCTCAACAGCAATGAAGGAGAGTCCCTTTCTCTCAGCATCCGAGCCAGCACTGGTTGCTCTTGTTCTTTTAGATGTATACCAGTCTCTGTGGTGTGAGATGATATCTCATTGTTGTTTGTATTTGCAAACACAAATGATTAGCGATGAAGAGCATTTTTTCATGTGCCTTTTGGACATTCAGACTTCCTCTTTGAGGAAGTTTCTGTTCATTTCCTCTCCCCATTTTTGATGGGGTTTGCTGTTTTATTCTTGTAAAGTTCTACCAGTGTCTTATATAACTTTGCTATTAACCCTTTATAAGATGGGCATTGAGCAAATAATTTTTCCCATTCCATGGGCTGTCTTTGTATCTTAGACACTATTTCTTTTGAGGTGCAGAAGCTTATCAGTTTCATGTAGTCCTATTTCTTATCTTTGCTTCCACTTGCTTGGTCAGTGATGTTTCATCTTTGAAGGTGCCTTTAGCTTCAATGTCATGGGGCTTTTTTTTCTTCCATGTACCTTATGGATTCAGATCTGATGTTGAGATGTTTAAGACATTTTTTTAAATAAATGGATTTTATTTGGAGGATTTTTAAGGTGTGGAGGGGGAGAGAGTGAGAGAGTAACATACTCAAGAGAGAACAGGACTTCTCCAAGGGTGGAGAGAGCCCATACACACATCCTAGTATTAGACACGAAGGCATGAAAGCACACATCTCAAGAGGGGAGATGTGGGTGACACATGTGCTCGGGCACCACATGTGCTTGGCCACGTGGGCGCAAGCAGCACATGGATTCAGGCAGGATATTCGCCTATTTAATACATTTTGATCTGACTTTTGCACATGCCATTAGAAAGAGGTCTGAGTTCATTCTATTTTACATGTAGCTGCCCAGTTTTCCCAGCACTACTTGTTTTTTTTTTCTTTTTGGGTCACATCCGGTGATGCTCAGAGGTTACTCCTGGCTTTGCACTCAGGAATTACTCCTGGCAGTGCTCAGGGGACCATATGGGATGATGGGAATTGAACCCGGGTCGGCTGCGTGCAAGGCAAACACCCTACCTGCTGTGCTATCACTCCAGCCCCACCCCCGCCCACAGCACCACTTGTTGAAGAGGCTTTCCTTGTTCCACTTTGTATTTCTCGCACCTATGTTAAAGATTAAATGATCATGTATTTGAGGGTCTGTGTTAGGGTATTCAACTCTATTCCATTGGTCTGCAGGTCTGTTTTTATTCCAATACAATGCTGTTTCAGTTACTACTGCTTTGTAGTACAGTTTAAAATCTTTTTTCCAGGCATTGCTTTAGCTATTCGTGGGGGTTTATTGTTCCATAGGAATTTCAGGAGTGTTTGATCAATGTCTTTGAAAAATGTCATGGGTATCCTTATAGGGACTACATTAAATCTGTATAATGTTTAGGGAAATACTGTCATTTTAACAATGTTAATCCTCTTGATCCATGAGCCAGGATGGTGTATCCATTTCCTCACATCCTCTTTTATTTATTGGAGCAAGATTTTGTAGTTTTCTCTATACAGGTCCTTTACCTCCTTACTTAAGCTGATTATTGTGAAGTACTTGATTTTATGAGTCACAATTGTGACAGGATTTTTAAAATATATCTTTCTTCTCTTTCATTGTTTGTATATAGGAAAACCATGGACTTTTGGGCATTGATTTTATAACCTGCCACTCTATTATATAAATCTGTTGTTTCTAGGAGCTTTTTGGTTGAGTCTTTAGGATTCTCTAAGTATAGAATTACGCCTTCATGGTAAGAGCTTGATTTCTTCCTGTCCTATCTGATGTTTTGACATCTTTCTCTTCCCTAACGGCTGGGAGAAGTACTATATTGAATAGAAGTGGTGAGGGTGGACAACCTTGTTTTGTGCCTGATGTTAGAGGGAAGGCTTTTAGTTTTTCTCCTTTGAGAGTAAAGCTTGCTGTGCGCATTATGGTAGATGGCTTGGACTTCATTAAGGAAAGTTCCTTCCACAGAGAGTACTCTCTTAAAAGCATGATAAGTAATATTTAAAAATATAAAGGATTCTGTTTATTATTAAAGGTTTATATTCTATTATTGTTTGTAAATGCACAATAAATACATTTAAATGATAATTATAAATAACATCATATATATGTATTTCCCGAACTGGAGTGATAGCACAGCATTAGGGCGTTTGCCTTGCACGCAGCCAACATGGCTGCCCCGAGTTAGATTCCTCTGCCCCTCTCAGAGAGCCCGGCAAGCTACCAAGAGTATCTTGCCCGCCTGGCAAGCTACCCGTGATGTATTCGATATGCCAAACACAGTAACAACAAAGTCTTCAATGGAGACGTTACTGGGCCTGCTCGAGTAAATCGATGAACAACGGGAGGACAGTGACAGTGATATGTATTTCCTATTAATTACATTATATATAGTCAGTCTTTGATGTATGTGCATTTTTACGTAGTATGCAGTTATGTGTGATGTGTGTGCCTGTGTGTATGTGTGCATGCATATAAACTCTGTGCACATGCATGCGTTTTTTGATATATTTTATAATAGTGATGCTTAGACTTTCCATATTCTATCATATCAGCCTTCAAGAGTTTCCAGCACAAGGTCTCTGAGAGGGCAAACATTCTCTTTTTTCCTGGACAAGTACTTTTTTAAAAATTTTTATTAGTGAAACACCACGAGGTACAGTTGTAGACTTACAAATTTTTGTACTTGGGTTTTAGTTATACAATGATCGAGTACCCATCCCTCCACCAGTGCCCATTTCCCACCACCACAGATCCCAGTATCCCTCCCACCCTCCATTCCCCCCCTCCCCCCCCATCTCACCCTGCTTCTGTGGCAGGGCATTCCCTTTTTTTCTCTCTCTCCTTTTGGGTGTTGTGGTTTGCAAAAGAGGCATTGACGGGCAGTCATGTTCGGTCTATAGTCTACTTTCAGCATGCTCTGCCATCCTGGGAGGATCCTCCCAACACCCTTTATTTGGTGCTCCCTTCTCTATCTGAGCTGCCTTTCCTCCTAGCATGTGTGGCTGGCCTCCAAGCCATGGAGTAAACCTGTTACTTATTTCGGCTATTTTTGGGTGTTAATCTCCTATTTTGTTACTTTATGCTCCCCAGATGAATGCAATCTTTCTATGTCTGTCCCTCTCTTTCTGACTTATTTTGCTTAGCATGATACTTTCCATGGAGTACCATTTGTATGTAAACTTCATGACTTCATCTTTTCTAACAGCTACATAGTACTCCATTGTGTAGATGTACAAAGTTTCTTTAACCAGTCATCTGTTCTCGGGCACACGGGTTTTTTCCAGATTCTGGCTATTGTAAAGAGTGCTGCAATGAACAAACAAGTGCAAGTGCCACTTCGCTTTTTTTGCCCCTCTGGGATATATTCCCAGGGAGTAGTATTACTTAGTCAAATGGGAGCTCAATTTCTAATTTTTTGAGAATCGTCCATACTGCTTTCTAAAAGGGATGAACCAGTCGGCATTGCCACCAGCAGTGAAGGAGGGTCCCTTTCTCGCCACATCCACGCCAGCATCGGTTGCTTTCGTTCTTGTGGCTGTGGGCCAGTCTCTGTGGTGTGAGATGATATCTCATTGTTGTTCTGATCTGCATCTCCCTGATGATTAATGATGTAGAACATTTTCTCATGTGCCTTTTAGCCATTTGGATTTCTTCTTTGAGAAATTTTCTATTCATTTTGTTGCCCCATTTTTTGATGGGGTTGGATGTTTACTTCTCGTGGAGTTCAACCAGTACTTTGTATATCCTTGATATCAGCCCTTGATTTGCTCGAGCGGGCCCAGTAGCATCTACATTGGAGACTTCGTTGTTACTGTGTTTGGCATATCAAATACGTCACGGGGAGCTTGCCAGGCTCTGCTGTGCGGGCGAGATACTCTCGGTAACTTGCCGGGCTCTCCGAGAGGGGCGGAGGAATCGAACTCGGGTCAGCCATGTTGGCTGCGTGCAAGGCAAATGCCCTACTGCTGTGCTATCGCTCCAGCCCCAGAGTTTGAAGTTAGGGAGGTTTATTCCTCTCATTTTCTTTTCCCCAAAAATTGCTTTAGCTATTCGTGGGGGCATATTGTTCCATAGAAATCTCAGGAGTGTTTGCTCCATTTCTTTGAAGAATGTCATGGGTAAGGATCACATTGAATTTTTACAATGCTTTGGGAAGTATTGCCATTTTGACAATGTTAATTCTCCGAATCCATGAGCAGGGGATATCTTTCCATTTTCTCGTGTCCTCTTTTATTTCCTGAAGTAGCGTTTTGTAGTTTTCTTTGTACAGGTTTTTTACTTCCTTAGTTAAGCTGATTTCTAGGTACTTGATTTTCTGGGGCACATTTGTGAATGGGATTGTTTTTTTCATGTCACTTTCTTCTCTCTCACTGTTTGCATATAGGAAAGCCATGGACTTTTGGATATTGATTTTATAGCCTGCAACTTTACTATGCAAGTCTATTGTTTCTAGGAGTTTCTTGGTAGAGGTTATAGAGGACAAGTCTTTTATGTGTTTGCCTTGACATGATTATCAATGTAGGCATATATAATATCACTTATCCTTTTCCACAAGTGGTTTTGCGTAATTTCAAACTACATGCTCATGGTTTTTCCAAAATAGATAATTTTCTTTTAAAGTATTTGAGCCTTCCTCTGAAAAAATAAAATTCCATTTGCCTTAAGTGACTGTGCTTTTATTCTATTTAAGCAAAAACTACACCAATTCTCTTTACAAACTATTAACAAATATGAATCTTTTTCCTTTATAAGGTCCACAAATTGTTTCTGAAATGGAATTAACTCAACTGGCTCTGATTCAGCCACTAATACTCACTATTAAAGAGGAATCAGTTCTCAAGGATTCATTTAAGATGCTTCAGAAAACAGAATTTGGAATTTTTCAGGAATTTATGGTAAATATATTGGTCTTAAAAGTTTTGTATGATTTATTTTCAACATTACTAATAGAGTGTTTCCTTTATTTCTCCATTATATTGAGTGTATTGGTTTTGTTCTTAATTATTAAACTTGATTTAAAGCCATTGCTGTACATAGTAATAAAAGTCAAATAGCATGAAAAATTATAAAATATATAGTTTCTGTTTTCCATCTTTTACTATATAGTGCCATTTCTGTTATTAACTTTGTTGTGTAAATTTCCAGAAAAATTGTTGACTTGTACTTTACTTAGTATTCAATCTCTCTTTTCTTTCATTAAAAAATTCACATAATAATTAAAAATATGATCAGCATGTATAACTCCCATTACTTTTAAGTGTTGCATGGTTATTAATTTATAAGGGTAAAGATCCTTTCTTTAGGAAAATAATTTTCAACAGAAATTGAGATTATTCTAGTCTTGGTTATTAAGAGCAGCAAGCTCCTCTGTATACCTGTGATATGTATGAATATTCTTAAGAACATATTTCTAGAAAGGCAACTAGTATTTTAGTGCTAACAAAGTTTTGAATTTTTACTAATTTCTTAAATGATAAATGATTTCTTGTTAATCTCATTGGCATTGCTTTCTTTGATTTAAGATGTGTTATTATTGAGGCAACATGGTTGATAGTAGTGTTAATATTTATGCTTTTGGTGTACAAAGATGCTGAACCTCCATTGCTACCATCAGAGTATTCTAAGGTCAGTTTTTTCCCTAGGTCACTTCTAGTCTGTTCCATCTCTGCTGACCCCTACCCTGCTTGATAATTTTTTTTACTGTTATCAGAGTGCAAGGTTCTTCTTTTTAAACTGAACACTTTTATTTTTTGAAAAAAATTTATAGTTTCAGAAAAAACATTATTAATACTATTGTAGACCACAGACTCTCAATTAATCACTCTTCACATATGAAGAAATTATCCATTATTTATTTAACATATCTTAAATTTCCTCATTTTGTTGTTTATATTACAAACACATGAAAACGTTTTTTTGGTCAAGTATGACATTCTTTTCTTTGGGGGTTCCAGAATTTTCTGTAACCTTTAGGAATCACTCTTTCATTTTAGGATTATAGTGATTATTTCATGTTTCTGCCACTTTCATGGTATTTAAAAGCTCTGATTCAACCAGAATTTAATTTGGCATAAGATATTTGGTAAGGACTCAGAATTATATGGCTGTCTAATGAGTCCAATATCTGAACTTCAGTGATGTAAATGGTCATTTGCTCATATTTTCAAGCCCCATATATATTTTGATTTATTCTTGTGCTTGTTCCATTGCTTTATTTATTCAGATATAGGCACTTTCAATTAGCTAGCTTTGTATTATCTCTTTGCCACCTCTTAATACTAGTATTTCCTTTTACTCTTCCTTTAAGGAATTATTCTGTTTTTTCCTACAGATTTTTTTCCAACTTCATGTTATACATGGAAAAAATGTTAGAAAGGTTTTAAAAATAGCCATATTATCCAAATGCTTAATAACTTCACGATGACACTGGTTCCAACATTTATTTAAAACTCTGGTGGGGTGGGCTGGAACGATAGCACAGCAGGTAGGGCGTTTGCCTTGCACACAGCTGACACAAGTTCGATTCCCAGCATCCCATATGGTCCCTGAGCACTGCCAGGAGTAATTCCTGAGAGTAGAGCCAGGAATAACCCTTGTGCATCTCCAGGTGTGACCCAAAAAGCAAAACAAAACAAAACAAAACACTGGTGGTGCCATGTTGGCTACTCAGAGGTTGTTGAAAGCTTTAGAAAAAGTATAAACTCTTGGGTTTTATTCACAACTACTCTAATGGAGTAAAACTACTGATACATTTTTATTCTTTTGATTATGCCACACAAGGTCTTTTTACTAGGTAATTTTATTTTCCCTTCAGGCTACATTATATGGTCTATGCTCTTATGACATGTATTCAGTGTTTCCCGGAGAGGATAATTACATGTGTTTCGCCTTTCTTCCTGTCATCCCACCTGGAATTACACCCCTTCATATTCACTTCTTTTTCCTTCCATTACTTATAGGCTTTCATGTGACTAAAAAAGAATTTTTTTTCACACTGGCCAGTTGAAGAGCTGTTTCTTTTTTAGGAGCTTTTCTTCTCCTACCTTCAGGTACAATTCATTGCTGTTCTCTATGCCAATAGTTCTGTACACTGATCATTCTCTGACGTCTCTGTTAACTACCTAGGATGAGGTCATTTGCAGATTCACCTTTGAATCTAATATCTAGGACAGGCTGACTAGTACTGAATGTTTGATGAATTTTTATTGAGTTTATGCTTGGTTAAGAAATATTAACACATGCATATGTGATGTTATAGTTAATTGGAACCTTTTTTGGTTTTCAGATGTCTAGAAAAATGACACATTATGACTGAAAATAACTTGGAAGTGTAATGGCCATTATGAGAAAAATTCAAATTAGAGATTATTTAATTTTTTTTAAAGGAAGGATTCTTTAATTGGTATTTCAGTTATTTCTTCATGGGGTAAATTGTGAGAGAAAACAGAATAAATGGTGGAACTGTTTATACTTTATAATTTTTGTTTATATAATTTTGTTGCTAGTATTACATTTATTCATGAAATAATAGAGTTATGAGAAGGACCTAGAAAGTGAATGTTCTGCAAAAGATTTTTAAAGTAAAAGACATGGAACTTAAAAAGGGAAACCTATCTCCATAGGGTTTAAGATTTTCTTATCAAGAAACTTACTGATTACATCTCAAATTTAATATATTTTCATTGCAGTACTCTTTACAATAGCCAGAATCTGGAAAAAACCTGAGTGCCCGAGAACGGATACTGGTTAAAGAAACTTTGGTACATCTACACAATGGAGTACTATGTAGCTGTTAGAAAAGATTAAGTCATGAAATTTACATACAAGTGGTACTACATGGAAAGTATCATGCTAAGTAAAATGAGTCAGAAATAGAGGGACAGACATAGAAAGATTGCATTCATCTGGGGAGCATAAAGTAACAAAATAGGAGACTAACACCCAAGAATGGCCGAGATTAGTACCAGGAATTTTACTCCATGGCTTGGAGGCCAGCCACACATGCTAGGGGGAAAGGCAGCTCAGATAGAGAAGGAAGCACCAAATAAAGGGTGTTGGGAGGATCCTCCCAGGATGGGAGAAGCATGCTGAAAGTAGACTATAGACTGAACATGATTGCTCCTCAATGCCTCTTTTGCAAACCACAGCACCCAGAAGGAGAAAGAGAACAAAAGGGAATGCCCTGCCACAGAGGCAGGGTGGGATGGGGGTTGGGGGTGGGTGGGAGGGATACTGGGATTCGTGGCGGTGGAAAATGGGCACTGGTAGAGGGATGGGTACTTAATCATTGTATAATTGAAACCCAAGCACAAAAATTTGTAGGTCTACAACTGTACCTCTTGGTTTGTCACTAATAAAACTTTTAAAAAAATTAATATATTTTACATGGTACTGTAATATCAGGTAAGTAATATTATACAGAAGTTTAAGGATTATGAGCACTAAACCAGATCACATTTTCTTTTTCTTTGTCATACTAAATACATAACTGATATTTCTTACCTTTTAAAGTCTTTAGATTTTAAGAATAAGCCTGATGAGTTCATCTATGGGAGTAAATTAAGCAACAGAGAGAAAAACAGATATCGAGACATTCTTCCATGTAAGCTAAAATGATTTTAATTATTTTTCTTTTCATATTTGGGAAGAGATTAAAAAGTGGGTTGTATGTATGACTTTTAGTCTTGGGAATTTGACCCATGCATGGTGATGATGAAGAACTGGAAGTAGGTGCCCTGGGCATGTTTTTGAGTCCCAGAACTTGGTGAAGGTCAAATTTACAATTCCAAGTGCTTCTTTCCACCACTGTCACAGCATTAGTTACAGCAATGTTTACACTATTTTTTAGCCATTGCTTCTTCTCAGGCCATAAACTGTCTAAAGCATAACATGTAATAGTCAGAGATACTTGTAATTTTTGACATCCCTTGCCCTCACCACTCTGGCTTGACCATTGTAGACTCGTTACTGTGAGGACTGTTTGTCCTTTGTCCTTGACAGTAAAGCTGGTAACCTTCCCTCTACCAGAAGGCTGCCCTTTAACAGAATATCCAATACATTTACTTCTTTGTGCTGGGTGAACAGAAACAAAACACAACACATTTTTAATCTTAGGCAGAATATAACATTCTATATATCAAACTCCTTTCAAAGTGAATTTTTTTTCCAAATTAAGTTTCTATTTTACTTCATCCTGCTTGACCCTTCCTCTATTACTCTATGTCTTATTTATTGTAACCACGTAGTTGTCCAAGATAGATGAAGAAGAGGCGAACACTGTTCAGGTTACTCTCAGTAAGTTTTTTTTTAAATAAAATCATGTGTTCTAATTCTAGTGTTTCTATTGTTTTAAATTTTTCTGTTGTAAATATTAGCTTTACCATTTTCCAATTTACTTATACTTTTCATGGCAACTGTAAGAATTTTGTTATTTGGCAAAAGTTTACATGTGTATGGAACTACTGTCTTATTGATTATTAAGGATGTTAATGATAAATTATTATATGACTTTAACTTGCACAGTAATAGTTATGGTCCTATAGTACCATATGAAACAAGAATGTCCAGGATTATTTAGGGTGTAAATACAATAGCTTGTATATCTAGAGCATGCTACAGTTTACAAAGCATTTTAAGTTTTTTCTTACATTTTACATTTCATTTTATTTTGACACTATGATTTACAATCTTGTTTATATAGTTGTTGTGTGTTTATACACAATACACAGTGGTGCTAAGGCTTACTCCTGGTCTTGAACTTAGGGATAACTCCTGGAGGACTGAGGGGATGATCAATACTAGATGCTGGGGGGGTTGCACCCAGTTCCACTATTTGCAAGGCAAGCACCCTACTCACAGTACTATCTCTCCAATACAATACTGTTAGCTGTAGTTTCAAACATAATTTGTTCCAACACTACCCACCACCAGAACACCTATTTCCCTCCATCAATGCCCCAAGGACCCCTCCTGCTCAATCCCTATCCCAGGTACTCTGAGTTCTGTAGACGAACTCTCTAGTTTTGTTGCCTTAGGCTATTTATTGCTCTTTTACTATTTTTCTGTCTTTTTTTATTGGTATAAGCATAAGCTTTTATTTTTCAAAAATCCTTTACAAAGCATTTAAAAATACATAATATTATTTAATATTCATAGAATTTCTCTAAAGTAGACCAGTCAAATGTTAGTTTTTCTATTTCATAGGTGAGAAAATAAGTGCTGGCGCAAAACTGTTTTAAAAATTAATAAAGGAGTGGGCCAGGTTCTCTGACTCCTGGCCTAATACTTTTCTGTACTTGTCTTTGGATCAACATATACTGAGAACTAATTAGGAGAGTGATTCTGTTCAGAGTACATTTGAACTTAGCTTTCCTTAATCACATGAGCAAGGTCAGGACAGGTGATAATATCTAAACTTAAAGATGAGAATTAATAGGAAAAGGATATCTCTCAATAAATCATTTATATTTGCATGTTTACATTTAAAATTAGTTATGTTTATCTTTTATATACCTTACCTCATATACTCACCAAATTCAAGTGAAGACATCTTAAATATTAGCTTAAGCAATAAAAATTTTGAAGAAAATCTAAGAGAAAATTTTGGTATCCTTAAATTTACCAAGTTTCTTTTTGCTTGTTTATTTTTGAGCAATACTCAGAGATGCTCAGACTCAGAGATGCTCGGGGTTTATTCCTGGCTCTGCACTCAAGGATCATGCCTGGAGTGCTCAGGGGACCATATGGGATGCTGGGGAATCAAACCTGGGTCAACTGCATGCAAGCTCCCTGCCTGTTAGACTGTCTTTCCAACCTCAAAGTTTCTTAATTAGGTACACTATAATTATTTTTTTTAAAGAAAAGCACAAGTCTAACGTCATCAAATTTAAAGGTGTGCTGAAAAGTGAACTGTTTAAAAATGAAAAGTCAAGAAGCATACTGGGAGAAAAAATATATTCAAAACATTTATCTTACAAAGGGCTTGCATTAGCTTACATAGAGAAGGGAGCACCAAATAAAGGGTGTTGGGAGGTTCCACTCAGGATGAGAGTAGACTATAGACCGAACATGATTGCCACTCAATGTCTCTTTTGTAAATCACAGCACTCAAAAGGAGAGAGACAACAAAAGGGAATGCCCTGCCACAGAGGTAGGGTGGGATGGTGGGATGGGGTGTGGGAGGGATACTGGGATCAGTGGTGGTAGAGAATGGGCACTGGTGGAGGGATGGGTATTTGATCATTGTATAACTGAAACCCAAGCATAAAAATTTGTAAGTCTACAACTGTACTTCATGGTGTTTCACTAATAAAAATTTTTAAAAAAGGACATGCGTTTAGAAGGTGTAAAAAATTAAAACAACTCGATAGAATAATAGATGGATAGATAACTAATAATAGAGAGATAACTGACCCCAAAACAAGTTTAGCAAAGGCTGTGAGTTTTCACTTTACCAAAGAAAATATATAGGTGATAAGATGTTCAAGATCATTAATCATTGGGGAAATGCAAATTAAAACTATAATAAGATTATTTCATACCCACTACAATGGGAGAAAGTTTAGCAGTTTCTTATAAAGTTAAACATAAATCTATAAGAGTGGATTACAACTATACGTCTATAATATAAGAATAAGTCCTCCCATTGTTCATCGATTTGCTCGAGCGGGCCCAGTAATGTCTCCATTGGAGACTTTGTTGTTACTGTGTTTGGCATATCGAATACATCACGGGTAGCTTGCCAGGATCTGCCGTGTGGGCGAGATACCCTTCCTGTGCCGTTATCATGCTGCGTGGAAGCCGAAGTCGCACCTCCCGCGTGGCCCCTCTGGCCAGCCGGGCATCACAGATGAGAGCTGCGCCCCGGCCAGCACCAGTGGCTCAGCCACCAGCTGCAGCTCCGCCATCTGCTGTCGGTTCCCCAGCAGCTGCCCCCCGCCAGCCTGGCCTCATGGCCCAGATGGCGAGCACTGCAGCTGGTGTGGCCGTGGGCTCTGCTGTTGGCCACACTGTTGGTCATGCCATCACTGCGGGCTTCAGTGGAGGAAGTACTGCTGAGCCCGCAAGGCCTGCTATCACTTACCAGAAGCCGCAGGGAACTCAGCCAGCTTACCAGCAGCAGCACCAGTTTGGGCCTTGCCACTATGAAATAATATAAGAATAAATAAATAAATATAATATTTGCTCATATATATTTATATATACTCCTATAAAATACTCCTATGTATTTACCTAAGAGGAATTTAAGCCTACATCTACATAATGACATACATAATGTCCAACAGACATAATCACTAATATGACACCATTTCTCAGGGTAATCAGCCACGTTACTCGATGGCAGTTTATTCCATTGTACTAATTCTCTCAATAAGGGAACAATGTTATTTTTCTGTAAAAGAGTAGACACTGTAGATGGGTCTGCTTTTGCTGCGTGCTAACAAATCTGTATCTTTGGAACTACAGAATGCTGTGTAACTCATACATTGATTCCAATTTTAAAACCTTATGTTTGAGGTCAATTATTTGTAGAAATGGGCTCATGCAGTGTACCCACTGATCATTCCCTCATATTCCTCATCATCCTGAGTTACCTGGCTTGATAGAATAGTAGAATAGACTGTCAGAGACTCATTGTAGTGCCAGCTAGGAGACAATACTTCTTAGGGATGAAGCAGTGCTCCTTAGGAAGCCATATATGCTCCACATTAATGTTCATTATATAATGAGGGTTTTATTTGTGGGTGGTGGTGGTGGTGGTGATTGGGGGACTTCAGCCAGGATACAGGAATGAAGAACTGGAAATTGTATTGATAGCTCTCATTGCCACCTCTAGTGATTCACTAGCCAATTATTTGCTACTGTCTGCAGCTTTAATGCTGTATTATTCTTGAGGATTTTTTTTCATTTTTTATAATTTTATTTATTGAATCACCGTGCAAGCAGTTACAAAGCTTTTGGGTCTAAGTCTCAGTCATACAATGAAACACCCGTACCTTCACCAGTGTCCATTCTCCCCTTCCAACAACCCCAGTATATCCCCATCCTACACCCTCCCCTACCTGTGGGACAGATGATTTCCACATTACTCTCTCTCTCTACTTTGATCACATTCAATATTTTGACACCAGACCCACCATTATTATTTGAGATTTTACCCCAACACTCAGATCTGCTGATATTCTTGAGGTTTTAATGATTTTATTTATGATTATTGTGTAAATGGGCTGGAGCGATAGCATGGTGTGTAAGGCATTTGCCTTGCATGCGGCTGACCTGAGTTCAATTCCTCTGCACCTCTTGGAGAGCCCTACAAGCTACTGAGAGTATCCTGCCTGCATGGCAGAGCCTAGTAAGCTCCCTGTGGTATATTTGATATGCCAAAAACAGTAACAAGTTTCAGAATTTGTTGTGAGACATTACTGGTGCCCACTTGAGCAAAATCAATGAACAATGGGAGGACAGTGCTACAGTGCTACAGTTGTCTAAATACTTATTATGATCCATCTGTCAATGTGAGTCTTTCTTGAAGGCTAGCAAGGGCAGAAAATCATAGAATTTGAGGACTCTAAGAATTTCTTAATAAAATGGAACAAAATCACTTAGCCATGTTGAATAAAAAGAAATTTATTTTTGGGGGCTGGAATGATGGTACAGTGGGTAGGGTGCTTGACTTTCTTGCACACAACTAACCCGGTTCGATTCCTGGCATCCCCTATTGTCCCCTAAGCTCCACCAGGAATTATCCCTGAGTGCAGTGCCAGGAGTAAGTCCCAAGCACCACTGGGTGTGACGAAAAAACCAAAAAATAAATGAATAAAAGATAAATTCCTTCTCTGAGAAGCATAAGTAATATGCTTCCTTTAGTGGATTGGATGGAAATTCAAATAAGGTGATACAAAGTACATAAAACTCTGTAAGTTGGTATGTCTATTTGCAATAAATCCTATTGCTATATTTTATTTTGGGGAGAATTTATTTGTTTCATGCTTCATATCTCATAAATTTATTCTTAAATTCAGTTTGCATATGCTCTTTTATGCTTTGTAACCTTTATCACAATGGTTTTCAGTCTTTTGACACCTGCACACCAACAGCAGTCTACAGACTGGCAATTGAAAGCCACTTAGCATTAGCATACTACTACTACTACTAATAATAATTGTTTTTTAGGGGGGTCACAGAGTTGGTGCTAAGAGATCACTTTTGGTGTAGCTCAAAGATCACTTCTGGTAGGGCTTGGGGAACCACATGTGGTGTTGGAGATTGAACCCAGGTAGGCCATATGTCAGGCAATTGCCTCAACTTCTGTATTATACCTATCCAGCACCAATTATTAGTTACTTTTTTACATCATTTAAATTTTCAAAAATTTTCAAAAATTTAATTTAATTGAAAAATTTATTTTTATAAAACTATTCACAGTGGTTTATTACATTCAATATTCTAACACTAAACTTACCACCATTACATCTTCCTACCACCATTATTTTCTGTTTTCTCAACAACCATCCACGCCTGCTCCAACAGCATGTCTGAAATGATTTATTTTGTATTGCTTATTGTGATTAATTCACTAAAAATGATCAAAAAGATTTTCTTAGAAGAAAGTGTGTGAAGATTATTGTATTTCATCTTGGAGTCAGTAAGCTTTTGTGTAAGAGATTACTAATCTGTTGTTAAGGGTTAAGTCTTCTGTGTTAATATTTGGTTGCCTTCTGCTTTATATCCCATCCAATGTGGTGTGCTACTACTGGTAGCATGAGGCTCTTTTCTTCAGGGATTCTAAAATTTTGATGGGGTGATACAGCTGGTGTTAAATTTTTTACTGAATGATGACTTTTTTTTTTAAATTGAATCACTGTGAGATATAGTTACAAAGCTTTCGTGATTATCAGTCATACAATGATTGAACACCCATCCTTCCACCAGTGTGCATTTTCCACCACCAATGTTCCCAGTGTCTGTCCTGCTACCCCCACCCTTCCCGCCCCCAGTCTCTGTGGCAGGCACCTCCCTTCTTACTCTCTCTCTACTTTGGGGCATTATATTTTGCAATACAGATACTGAGAGGCCACCATGTTTGGTTGGTTCTTAGTCTACTTTCAGCACACACCTCCATCCTGAGTGATACCCCAACCATCATTGACTTAGTGGTCCCTTCTCCATCCCACCTGCCTTTTCTCCCAGCATATGAGGCAGACTTCCAAACCATAGAGCGATCCTCCTGGCCCTTGTCTCAACTATCTTTAGGTTTTAGTCTTATATTATGTTATTTTATATTCCACAAATGAGTGCAGTACTTCTATGTCTGTCCCTCTATTTCTTACTAATTTCATTTAGCATGATACTCTCCATGTCCATCCATTTATAAGCAAATTTCATGACTTCATCTTTTCTAACAGCTGCATCGTCTTAGTGGTGAGTCTGGGAGGATCCTTGGAGTTCACTTGATCTCTTTTGAGATTTATTTATGAGTCTCTGGATCATGGCCTGTTAATGGGCTTATTGGGTGCTAGAGGTGGTTCATGGGCATGACTGCCAGGCTCCCAGAGGAACAGAGGGATGGCAGTGGGGGAGATCACCCATTACTGACTTTCTAGGAGCCTGGAGATTTGGGTCACAAAACCTGCATACCTGAGTTTTCCAACAGATTCATTTATGGATGAGGCTCGTCTGAATCTGTGAAGTCTGGCCATATGCATGGCAGTGATTGAGTTCTGGAGGCTTTAGGCTGCCAGGGCTCTGCTTGGGAGGGTGGAGAAACTCACCTGCCCTTCCCTCCCTCTGGGGTGCCCTGGATCTGAAATTCAGCCGGGTACACCGGGCACAAGGTCTGGAGACATTTCTGCCTGGGAAAATTCTTTTTAAGTCAGTTGTGTAAACAATTTGTTTTTCCTGTTCATAGCGGGTAGGGCGTTTGCCTTGCACGCAGCCAACATGGCCGACCCGAGTTCGATTCCTCCGCCCCTCTCGGAGAGCCCGGCAAGCTACCGAGAGTATTCGATATGCCAGACACAGTAACAACAAAGTCTCCAATGGAAACGTTACTGGGCCCGCTCGAGCAAATCGATGATCAACGGGAGGGCCTTTACCTTTTATCTCTGTTTAAGACTTTGAAGAAAGTAATTGTGGGTTTTTGATCTGAAAACAAGATTAATTTTCATAGACTTAACCTCTTTTGAAAATAAAAGTCAAGCTTTTCTACTATAAGATAGTGTGCTCACAATAAAAATATTTAAATAAAAAATTTAGATAACAAAAATTACTATTAAACTGCTAGGATTTTAATATTTGCCAATTAAAAAAATTATATATGATGTGTGTGTTTCATTATATATGGTGAAAGATCTAAGTTAAACATGTTACTTCCTTTATAATTTAGCAATATACTATAATTATGCTAGCAAAAATACTTTAATGATAAAATTAATTTCTTTCAGATTTCACTTAAAATACAAAAATTTTTTTAAAGAAAACTGTCCACCTGCCCTATTAGAAAGGAAAACATTTGCTATAATTTTTCATAATAGTCTCCTTTTGAGAGTACTTGCTACTTTTATATACATATACATATATATATAATATTGGAGAATAGTAGGTACTGTCCTGACCTAATGTTTAACGGAAATCTCTCTAAGTGCCTAGATACTTGTGACAATCTTCGCTATTTAGTAGGAAATGAATAAATGGAAACAATTTTGGAGCCAGAGAGGTAGTACAGTGGGTAAGGTGCTTGCCTGGCACACATCTTACCTAGGCTTGATCCCAGGCACTCCATGTAGTACTCCCAGGAGTGATCCCTGAATGCAGAGACAGGATTAAGCCCTGAGCAAAGATGGGTGATGCCCCGCCTACTTTTCCTAAATCTACCAGATATTTCTGTTTTTGTAATAGACGATTCAACACGTGTTCCTCTTGGGGAAAACAAGGACTACATCAATGCTAGTTATATTAGAATAATCAATTCTGAAGAAGAGTATTTTTATATAGCTACTCAAGGTCCTCTGCCAGGTACCATGGACGACTTTTGGCAAATGGTTGTGGAAAACAACTCTGATGTTATTGTGATGATAACCAGAGAACTTGAAGGTGGAATAGTCAAATGCCACCACTACTGGCCCATTTCTGTAAGCAAGCCTTTGGAATTGAGAAGCTGTCGTATTTTCCTGAAGAACTACCAGATGCTTCGAGATTTTGTCATTCGAATATTTCAAGTTGTAAAAAAGTCTGTAAGTTTAAAAAATAATATTATATATTTCTTTATTTTATTTTTTAATGTTTTTAAAAATTTTGTTATTTTTTAGAGCATCACAAAGCTATTCATGATTGAATTTTAGTCATACAGTATTCCAACACCCATCTCTCCACCAGTGTACATTTCCCAACACCAGTATCCCTGGTTTCCCTCCTATCACCTCCCACTCCCCACCCTTAAGGGCAGGTGCTTTTCTTCTCTCTCTCTCCTTTTGGGTATTGTGATTTGCAATGTTATATATTTCTTATCTAAGCACATGTGACAGGACAAGGGATTAGTAGGATAGGATAAAGACTGAGAATACTTGTAAAAGTAATTTCTTCCTACTTTTCCTTAGTATTGAAAACTAAGAATCGCCATCACTAACGTCTCCATCAGTAATGTCTCCATTTGTCCCTGTCACGTGCTAGTGTAGCCAATGGGATTTGGGGGGCTTTTTCAGGGTCAGGGAAATGAGGACCATCATTGTTACTGTTTTTGGCATATCAAGTATGCCACGGGTAGTTTGCCAGGCTCTGCCATGCAGGCGGGATACTCTCGGTAGCTTGCCGGGCTCTCCAAGAGGGATGGAGGCTTTTGGGGCAGCCTCTAATCACCTTTACAGGTGTTCCCAGTCAGGCATATATGCGGGCAGGTTGCACTCCGTAGCCTGCCGAGTTATCTGAGAGTGAGAACTAGAGAATAAGAGGTCGCGGCTGCGTGCTTCCAGGAGCTTGGTTTTATAGTCACTGGATCCTGGCCGTTGATAGGGTTACATAGCAGTTGGTGGGTGTAACTGTCTAGCTACTGTAAGATGGGGGATCTGGGTGGAGGAGGCTCAGTCCCAAACCGAGCAGGCTTGGAGATCTCAGCCCCGGTCCCGCACACCTGGGTTCCTTTGCCGGTTCCTTCATGTGTGAGGCTTCTCTGAGCATGTGGAGAGTAGTCTCAGCATGACTGTGGCTGGGTCTCGGTGGTCTTCAGCTGCCGGGGCTCTGCTCGGGGAGGAGAGGGAAACTCAACCCGTCCTCCTCCAAGAGGCCCCAGTGAGGACAGCCAGGCACTGTCTAAGAATGAAAACTACTTATGCTTCTAGTTAATCTAACTCTGATTGAAGAGATAAAAATTTCAAAGAGGAGAGGTGGGGATGGGTGTTGGAACATTGTATAACTGAAACCCAACCATGAATAGTTTTGTAAATGTGTATCTCACCATGCTTGTATTAAAACTAAAAGAAAAGGAGAGATATGGTAGAAAGACTGAATATTGAAATGTGCTCAATCCTGGGATATACTTTGATGCTTCTGCCTAGGGCAATAGAAATAGATTTGGTACTTAGGCATGTTAATCACTGTTCCAGGCACTGTCTCTTCTTAACTGAGTATTAAAGAATTTGGTATGCTTATTGATACTTCCAGTGGAACTGATACTAAGGTCAAGGTTAATACTTAAATCTGTATGGAGTGCCTTAAGGACTCTGAAGGAATGTACTTAACATTCCCTGTGATTTGGGGGAAGTTATACTGAGGGGGTGACGGTTACTCAAATTGGAAATTATGCAAATGAAAAAGAAAAAGTAGATGATTAATACATTGATATAAAGTAGCATGGAGGCTATGTAGAGAAATGTAGGTAGCTAAGTGTTTCGGGAATGCAAAAGTTAAATGTGAGAGTAATGAGAGATGAAATGAAGCAATAAAAAGTCAACAGGAAATAGCTCAAATGTTTTAGTTTTCTCCTCAGGAGCATGAAATTTATTATGAAGATATTTGGGAGATACTGACGCATTTTAATAAAAATAAAAAAGTGGAGAGATAAACTATCACAGATTCAGTTGAGATGCAAAAGTTTCAGTGTTTTTAGATAAAACTGACGGAAGTGCATAATATGACTTGTGATTTATAAGTGACAGGAAGAGTAATCATAAATGTGTTATCCAGGATGGTAATGACATGTGAATTAGCTAAACTTACATAAAATTTTAAAGAATAAAATTAATGTGAAATGTGTGCAAGGGACACATTTCAAGAGTTTAGATACGTCACACATGGCTACCTTATTGGACAGTATAGATATAGGACATTTATCATTTATACCATTGTAGAAGTTTTCATCTAGAATAATAATTGATTCTCCAATAACTTTGGAAAGTTGAATAGAGTAGGTTACAGGTGAAAAATGATGAGTTATATTGCTAGAAGTAAATTTGATTAGCAGACAGATTAGTTTAACAAAAGTGAACTAGGGTGGAGGTTAAACAGAAAGCTTGAAAAGAGTGATGAGATGTGGAGTCACTACCACAAATGTTTATTGATGTATTGACATTGATTCAAAAATGGGTTCCTGTGCTTATACCCATAAATTTGAAAAAAATAATAAAATATGCAACTACAATTATTTTCTTCACATAAAGGTCTTTGAATATAGGTTTTGGGACTGACACAGGGTGAACTGTGTTCATTAATGTGGCAAGATTCAAATGAGTTGGCAGTATGATTAAAGAATGCTTGAGATAACCAAACATTAATGTAAATTTATTTGGAAACTGAAAAGAAGCAGGGTCTAATCAACTGTGAGTAAATAATGGACAGTAAATGAAGGACTGGAGAGTTCCATTTGGTTGTATTGTTGTTGAACTTGAAGTGAAGCACAAAAGAAGCAGTGGCATTTGAGATTTTGGTCTGGAAGTAATGTTGAAGTTTAGGAACTTGGGAGAATTTTGGTACAGGACACTAAAATGATACTAAGTCCAAAAAGTGATCATCCTTTTGGAGCCTAGACCAAAAAAGAAAAAGCATGGTCTCTTCTAAAAAAGTAAAGTAAAAGTAAAGGCCCTCCCGTTGATCATTGATTTGCTCGAGCGGGCCCAGTAACGTCTCCATTGGAGACTTTGTTGTTACTGTGTCTGGCATATTGAATACTCTCGGTAGCTTGCTCTAAAAAAGAGTAAAAAAAAAAGAGAGATATGTGGGTAGAGAGTGTTTGGCTCCTGAGACCCTAAATTTTCCCTTGATGATGTCAGAGTTTGTGGGGGAGTGAAAACCAGGATCTCCAGTGAATGTGGCAGATTGATCAGGAGGCAGATTGATCTAGCCATTCAATTGTAGAACTGGGGATATGAAGCTAGAAGCTGTGGAGTTCAAAAGAAATAGTTGTTTATGCATGAAGGGATTATAAATTGGGTTTTGAAAGAACTGCAAGGAGTGCCTGTGTTTTATGGTTCTAGGAACATAAGCGAATTGGTTGATTTCAATTAGAGATGACTGCAGAGAATGTAGAGTTCATGGGAGACACGGTATAGATGATTGAGTGTTTTATAGAGTTTATGTTGGGGTTCTGAGTGCGGACAGATTTAAAGACATAGAAGAGTAGGGGGTTTGAGGAGCATGAGGACTGGAACGAGAGTGGTGACAAGTGAGGCCAAGAATTATAACAAAGTCTGACATTAATGCCGAGCTTACGAGTTATGTGTTAGGGACATAGAGTCCTCTTTTTGTTATATAAGTCGGGATTTGCCTCTTCCTGCACTCCCATGCTGATTGTTTCCTGTCATATAGGTAACAATACCTGTCAGTTGCTGGGGAAAGAAATCAGACATAATCTCAACTCTCAGTATACACAGTCTAATAGGGAAGGAAGATACTAAACACAGCAGTTCCAAATAATATTTGACTAATACTGTTGCATAGTATAACAGAATACTTGGAAAATATAGACAAGATAGGAGGCTTATAACAGTGGTCTCTGCATGGGTTTAATGTTTGGTTCCATCTGTGAACCCTTAGAGGTAGTTTCTGTATTCAAAGTTCTGTCATAGGGAACTGGGTCAGAAAAGTGGTAAGTTCCATCTTTTTCCAGGTTCGCAGTAGGTAGCAGTAGCAGGAGAAATTTAATGATGGAAATATAATAGGGTCAGAGCTATCCTCAACTTAGTGTCTTCACTAGATTTTTGGCTTTCAATTCTTAGCCTTTTGGATCTCAGTAGTGAGAGTGATTTAAGCTTGTGTTTTCAATCGATAACTTAGGAAAGCTTATTTTTATCTAGAACTTAAGAGGCAAATTAGAGATAAGCAAAAGAGTGCAAAACTCATTCTGAGTTTTCCTGTAAGGGTACCCGAGTAAAGTTTATTGAGGGCTGCACATGGCACTAAGGATATTTGGAAGGGAGTAAACTTAAAGTTTACTTTTGCTTTTCTTACCCGCTCTGTGATAGGCTTCATGACACTGCTTCTAGGAAGCTTGAAAACAAGCTTCAGATTAGGAAGTCTACAGTCATGATCATTAAGTGCCAGGTCCTAATGTCCAGAGAAGTCTAGTGCCCCCTTAGTCAAGAAATGCGAAACTAAAATTTGCCATCAGAATACTTAAGCTAAGATAGGTTTCATTTATATCTCATTCACTACAGGTCAGCCCATCCATGTTTTATTTATTTATTTTTTAATTCTTATTTTTTTCCCCTGAAGTCACTCTGTACAGAAGAAAGACAATAGATTTAGATTTTGGAGACCTATGTTATAGTCCTAGCTGCAAACAAATGAGCCTTCCCTCTGATTTCTTAATCTCTCAACCCCTCTAATCCTTTTTTATCTGTTAAAAGGAGAATTAAAGGGTGCCAACTTTGTAGGATTGATATGAGAAATAAATGAGGTGTGGCATCTTAGCAAATTTTTTTGTACCTGGAATGTAGTAAGTGCTCAGTTCATACTGCTGTTAGAAATCTTATCTCATTACCACAGAGACATTTTTCAAGTTATGTATTAGTATTAGTATTATCTTAGACATTGCAATGAGATCTCAAACATAAGAAGCCAATAAATCTTCTCTCTTCACCCCCCCACCCTCTCTTCTTTCTTCTCATCCTTTTCTCAACAGACAGGAACTAGTCATCTTGTAAAACAAATGCAATTCACCAACTGGCCAGACCATGGCACTCCTACCTCAGTAGATGATTTTATAAAGTATGTTCGCTATGTGAGGAAGAGCCACCTTACAGGACCTCTCGTGGTTCACTGCAGTGCTGGCGTAGGCCGGACGGGGGTATTTTTATGTGTGGACGTCGTGTTCTGTGCCATTGAAAAGAACTTTACGGTAAGTGTAAGCAGACAAACAGATAAGCTGTAAGCAGATACAGCTTTCTATGCTTACTGTGTTTGTAAGTACCGTACTCATCACAGCCTTATATGTTGAGTCTTCTAGGGCGACTTAGTAAATAGAAGACATTTGAACTTTGGGTCCCTGTTTCTTAACTGTTTCAGGTTTCTGGTGGTGGTGGCTCTGAGGATCAAAATGCAAAATACGAATGACTGGAATAAATATGTTCCAGTTGGCAGTGTGTGGAACACACCAATGCACAGTAATTGTGAATCCCTTTTCCTTTTTTCTTCCCTTGCTCACACATAATTTCTAGAATCTTCTTAGAGAATGTCAAAGAAAGGTGCTTGTTTTTAATGAATGAAAAATCTATGTGAGCATGTTGGAAAATATGTAAACTTGAGAGTTCATAAGAGGTCTCTGAATTTGACTGCCAGTTTTGCCACATAATTTTGAGTTTGGTTAATTTGTAAAAAGCAAATTAAAAAGCATCTTCCATAAAACCTAGATTTATCTTATGTAAAATAAAGAAAATAGAATTTGAGGGTTTTTAAACAATTGTGAACAATTCTTTACTTTTCTCCAAAATTTGGAACCAGAAAAGATATAACCATATTGTGATTATGTTATTAGGTTTATTTTGATTAACCTAATTTAGGAATATGACTTTAGCTGGAGCGATAGCACAGCGGGTAGGGCATTCGCCTTACAAGCGGCCAACATGGCCGACCCGAGTTCGATTCCTCCGCCCCTCTCGGAGAGCTCGGCAAGCTACCGAGAGTATTCGATATGCCAGACACAGTAACAACAAAGTCTCCAATGGAGACGTTACTGGGCCCGCTCGAGCAAATCGACGATCAACGGGAGGGCCTTTACCTTTACCTTTACCTTTACTTTAGATCTGTTTGTCTTATTTTCTTTTAAAATTATCTCTTTATTATTATTGTTATTATTACAAACTTTTGTGCTTATGTTTCAGTCGTACAATGTACCTCTGTTAGTCTTCTTGATCAATTTTATTCTCCTCCTCTCCCCCACTTCACTCCTCTTTCTCTCTCCTCCCTTCCCATTTACTTTCCTTCTCCTTTCATTCCTTCCCCTTCACTTCCCTCCCCTACCTTCCCTTTCCAAATTACAGGCCACCTTTCTTTTTTTTTTGTCCCTATTATGTTTCTTAGAACTTCAAGTACCATTTGAATATAGGTAGTGAGAGTTAACATTCTTGCCATAATTGATATTTGGGGAAAAGCAAATTAAAATTTTCATATGTGAAAGAACCATGGAAAAAATAAAAATACACAGACTTGGAGAAACTTTTTACAAACCACACATCCAACAAAGGCAACAAATCTAGAATATATAACGATCCTCAAAATGTAGTAATAAAATCCCCCCAAAATAAGAGTATTTCAGTTTGAAAATATCACATGATATTTTAAGATATGAAGAGATATTTCACCAAAGAAAATACATAGACAACAAACATTTAAAAAGATTCTCTACTTCATTATCCTATAGACAAATAAAATTAAACCATGAGGAGGTATTACTAGGCATCTGTCAGGCAGGCTAATGCAAAAAAGAGTAACGCCACCAAATGTGGTGATGATTTGAAGTGGCTTAATCACACATTGCTTGCAAGAATGAAATAGTATACCTATTTAGGAAAATAGTTAGACAGTCTTTTTCAAATAACACATCTGCCTCACATACTGATGGAAAAAGCAGCTGAGATAGAGAAGGGACCACCAAGTAAATGATGCTTGGAGGACTCACTCAGGACGGGAGATGTGCACTGAAAGTAGACTATAGACCAAACATGATGGCCACTTAGTACCCATAATGTGACCCATAACACCCAATAGGAGAGAGAGAGTAAAAGAGAATGTGTCTGCCACAGCGGTGGGGGGAGGGGGGAATATTGGAAACATTTGTGGTGGAGAATGGACACTGGTGGAGGGATGGGTGCTTGATCATTGTATGACTGAAACGTAATCACAAAAGTTTGTAAATATGTAACTGTGATTCATTAAAAAAATCAAATAACACATCTAAACTAGACCAATTTAACTATGTAATCCCGGCAATGGTGCTTTTGGGTATTTATCCCAGAGACATGCAACCAGAGTTTCCTCACAAAAATCTGTATTAATAGCAGACTCATCCATAGCAGCTCCAAACAGGAAACAACCTAGATATCTTTTAGCAAAGTGATGCTTTGATATATACAAGAATTTCTAAACACTTCTCAATTTCAGAACTCATCTCCTTGTGGGTCAGCCATAGCTGATCTGCACCAACCCAGTGGCCACTTTGGGCAGTGCAGGCCCAGGTGCTAGAGCGGAATCTGGTGTTGAGGCAACTGTTGCTCAGGACACATGAAGAGATTATTTACTTCATTAGTCCTTAGGGAAGTAAAATTAAAACCACTAAAATATATTACTAGAAATCTATCAGAAAGTCTAATACAAAGAATGGCACCACCAAATGTGGTCAAGATTTGAAGTGGCTTAATCATACACTGGAGTTAAGAGGGCTCTTTATAGAAGAAATATATCTGTTAATATTGTGTTCAGAAGAAATTTTCTATGCTAAATACTTTTCCTAAATTATAGTGCTTGTTTAAGCAGTCCCTTCAGAGAACAGAAAGGTAACAGGGGCAAATTTGTTATTTCTTTTGGAAATCTTTTTTTTTTTAAATTTCTTTAATTATTGCTTTCTGATTTTCCCTGGAAACCAATTTAAAGAAAACTTTCTTATTCAATGGCTATGTTGGAAATAGTGTATTTTTTTGGCTGCAAAACAGATATTTCTGGGTAAAATTTGACATCTCATCTCATTTACTGGGAATGTGGAATATTGATCTGGAAATCTGTGGGTTTGTGTTTTCCCTTTACATATATTATGAAATTACTATTATCTTGTTGCAGTTCAATATCAGGAATATAGTGTCCCAAATGAGACAACAACGTCCCGGCATGATTCAAACGCAGGTAAACTCACCACATAAATTCTAATAGGAGGGTTAATGAATATAAAGATCAAGATTACATAGTGTATTGCAGTTTATAAAGTTCCTTTCCCCACATTATCTTATTGAATCTTACATTTTGAGATAGATATAAATTTTCTTTGGTATTACTGCTAAAATTATTCATGTTAAGAGATTTCTATAAGCTGATATATATATTCTCCTCTATTCAGTATATATATATATATATATATATATATATATATATATATATATATAGGAGGCACCAATACTGAAACAAGTTATTTGACGCCCAGACATATATAATAAGGCATACATAATGCCTTATTATTTAATATGAAAGGTTATTTTTGTGACTTTATGAATAAAATGTGGAATATTTACATCACACTAAAATGTAAGAATTTTTGGAATTTGATTTTTTTTTTTTGCTTTTTGGGTCACACCTGGCGATGCACAGGGGTTACTCCTGGCTTTGCAATCAGGAATTATCCCTGGCGGTGCTCAGGGGACCATATGGGATGCTGGGAATTGAACCGGGTCAGCTGCGTGCAAGGCAAACACCCTACCCGCTGTGCTATCACTTCAGCCCCAAGGATTCTTGGAATTCTATTTAAAAAATACCTGTTATGTCACATATTAATTTCATTTCGTGGGAGATCTTCAAGAGAATAATTAAAGCATATAAGCACCCTAAATTATTATTATTATTATTATTATTATTATTGTTTTTTCCCCAGACTGGTAGTGCTCAGGGCTTACTCCTGACTCAGTGATCAAAAATCACTTCTGGAGGGGATCTGGGATGCTGGCGATCAAACTTGGTCAGCTGTGTGTAAGACAAGTACCTGCTTTGGCCCCCCCGATCCCTAAATTCTTGTGGTGAAGTGTTTATAGGCCAGTGTTATAAAGTACCTTATTTTGAACTAAATTGCCCAAGAGACTTGAAGCTACATCTCAAAAAATATTTTAATTAGATTTATTTAGAGATGTTATCAAATTGAGATTACGAGTCAGATTCTCCTCTATTCAGTTAAACCTTCAGTTAACAAGTTCTAAACCAAAATATATTAGGATCTTCTTCATATTAGAAACAAACCCTTCATATTAGAAACAAACCTTTACATAAGAAGTTCTTGGTTAAATGTTCTCCGTAAGAACTTTCCCTTTATAGTTGAAAATTATGAACATGTTCTCTGAAACTGTATATTGGCATTCAACAACTTAACATTCTGTTGTTTTTCATATATGTGCATATAGGAGCAGTATAAGTTTTGCTATAAAGTTGTGCTTGATGTTTTCCGGAAGATTATGTCTCACTTAAAATTGTCATGAAAATACCACGTGGCTTGGAGTCTCCTCATCGAGAACATATCAAGCTGATTGGAGGACTTTGCTTAGGCATACATTGTGCTTCCTCTGTGTGTCATTTGATTTTGTTCCTGACAACTCCCTAAAGGCAGCATTATTTGGTTCGGAGTAAATATTTTTTTTATCTTACTTAAATAGTACGAAAACATGAACCCACAGTTTCCAACAAAAGTTACTTGAAAAAAATTCAGTATTCCTATTTCTGGAGAAAGGATTATGGAGCACGATAAAGGATTTAAACTGTACTTGTTACGATTTTATTTGGAAAGATGGATGAAGAAGCCGGTTTTCACAGGACCTTATAAAGCCTTTATTCTGGGAGAACATAGCATTAATGAACTGCAAGATCATGTCTGCCTACAGGAGGTCTTCAGGCATTTCCAAGAAAGATTCTTACGTATATTTTCTAGCTAAAAGGTGTACTTTGCACTGGTATTTGGGTAACTCGGTTCACTAAAAGAATCCAAGTAGGATTGATTAGCTTTCTAAGCAAATTGGATTCCATTTTCCTGTATTTCCATTTTCCAGTGGGGCCTCAAGGTCATCAGAGGATGAGCTGCCTTTTAGGACAAGGACAAGGACCTGTTGGTCTGGGAAGCATTTCACGAGCGGGCAGAGTTTCTTCTCTCCTCATATGAGTACATGGGTGAACAGTCCAAAACTAAAATAGATGTTTATATAGAAAGTCCAAGAGGAAATTTTTGCCCAGCTTGAGTTCTTTCCTATCCCACCCTAACACTTAACATATTACTTAGTCTGCTTTGTTAAAAGAAAATATTACCTTTTACTTGCCTCTTACTCTTAGCCATTTAACTAGCCAATAAACTTTGATAAATGCATTATTACATAATTCTGAGGATCTCACATGCCAGATAAATTTTTCAAACCAAATCTGTGATACTTATTTTTTTCTTCTCAGTTCCATTAAATCATTTCTTTCCGTTACTGCCCCACCTCTGTGCTAACATTTAGAAGTTGGCTTTGGTAACCAGGTTTTGGAAAACTAAATTCATAGTTGTGAAAACTAGATCTTTCGTATACTGTATTTGAAAAGATTGTGACATTATCATATTCATCTTAATGTAAAGCTTGTCTCATACAATTATAGTGATATTTTGTTTGAGGAATCACTTACCAGTTATACTTGATTATTAATTATAAACAATTTATATGTCTTTGGATAGTGTAATTCAGTGGAGATCAGAATATTCTATGTAATGATACTCAGAAAATGTTTAATATTAATCTGTAAATATTGAATGTGTAAGATTTTTTGTTCTCTGAATAAATATTTAAATTGGTTGAATTAAAATAGGCAATTCTCTCTCTCTCCTCCTCTCTCTGTCTCTCTCTCTGTCTCTCTGTCTCTCTCTCTCTCTCTCTCTCGTTTCTGGTCCATACTCAGGAATGCTCAGGGAATGCTCTTAGCTTGGTGTCCAGAGGTTGCTCTAGATAGTGTGTGGGGGACCTGGAGTACCAGGGATTGAATCTAGATCTCCCAAATGCAAAACAAGTGCTCATCCTTTGAATTATTTTCTTGGCTATAAATTATACCTGATAATATATTTTTATGGACTGGGAATTAAACCTAGGACTTCACACATGTGTTCTATTAGCAAGTCACATAATTTTCCTTTTAAAAATAATTATATTTTAGAAGTATAATTTATATCAAATCAAATTGGTGATTTTACCTTATTTACATTGCTCACATAAATAAGTTTATGCTAAACATTGATTTTGATAGTTGATCTTTAATATTTGTATCCTAGGCTTTACTTTCTTTTAAAAGAGCAGATATAATGTAAATGGTATTTTTGAGAAGGATTTTATGCTATTATTAAAATGAATATATTTAATATATGTTATCCAAAGTATTTTTGATATCTGATCCTTGGAATGATCACTGTCACTATCACTGTCACTGTCCTCCCGTTGTTCATCGATTTTGCTCGAGTGGCCCAGTAACGTCTCCATTGTGAGACTTGTTGTTACTGTGTTTGGCATATTGAATATGTCATGGGGAGCTTGCCAGGCTTTTGCCATGCGGGCGAGATACTCTTGGTAGCTTGCTGGGTGGAGGAATCGAACCTGGGCCGACCAGGTCAGCCACGTGCAAGGCAAACGCCCTACCCACTGTGAAGAAAAATTCTACAATTTTTTATGGAAAACATCTTAGTTTTTAATATTTGCATCATATTTTTATAGAAAAATACTAGTTTTTCTGGGAAGTTAATACTTAAATATGAAATACTGATTGTACTTGTTTTATTTTTGAAAAGTAAATTCAAACTTGAAATTTTTATTTTTTAATTTTTATTAGTGAGACACCATGAGGTACAGTTATAGATTTACAAATTTTGTGCTTGGGTTTCAATTATACAATGATCGAATACCCATCCCTCCACCAGTGCCCATTTCCCACCACCACGGATCCCAGTATCCCTCCCACCCCCCATCTCCCACATCCCACCCTGCCTCTGTGGCAGGGCATTCCCCTCTGTTCTCTCTCTCCTCAAACTTGAAAATTTTTGACTGAGCCTTTTAGAGTTCTTTTCTTTCTTCTTTACTTTTTCAGTTCTAGGGATTCAACCCAGAACTTCACATATGCAGGGCAAGCACTCTACCACTGAGCCACATCCCTGGTCCTACTTTTGACTAGTTAAACTACAACTTTAAATCAGTTTTTCCTAGGATATACATGTGAATCTACCATTGATGTCTTTTTGAATATATGAACATTTACTTGACACAAACACAAAAATTTAAATACGAGAAGATATTTATTAGCTTTCAGACACATTGTTTGCTTATTTAATATTTTTATTTTGGATCTCCCAAGTTGTGTTGGGGCCTAAGGGCCACTTTTGGTGATATTACCAACTGGTCTGGACAATTCAGTGTTGGGGCTAAAAGGATCAGGTGTTTCCCGGTATCTGTGGTGGCATGGATCAGGATCACAAGGGCCACTCTTGTGGTGCTCAAGAGGCTCCAAGCTAAACCTAGAGGTATTGGCAGGGGTGGTGGTGATTGGTTAGCATATAGTCCCGCACTGGGCATGCTTAGAATATGTTCCTGCACCTTTTTCCCCCTCCCTGATCCTAAAAACTTAATTAAAGCTATGTGTTTGATGAACTTACATGTTGGAATAAAATTTTTTATTTTTTAATTTTTTTATTCTCATATAACTCATAATAATTTTTTGAACTTTTAATCTCTAACGTGTAGAATGTTACTGAATTTTCTATAAGTTTACATTTGTTACTCAGGGGTCACTTTAGTGACTTATTTTTTATTGAAAAGTCTCGGAGAAAATACCTACTACTTTATAAAAAATACTTCATTTGTGTCCCTAATTTTTCTGAATGTTTGAAAAGAATTTTTTCCCCTATGATTTAATGTTTCAAGTAGCACTGCAGCACTGTCCTCCTGTTGTCCATCAATTTGCTCAGCAGGCACCAGTAACCTCTCCATTGTGTGACTTGTTGTTACTGTTTTTGGCATATTGAATACGCCACAGAGAGCTTGCCAGGCTCGGTAGCTTGCCGGGCTCTCTGAGAGGGACAGAGTAATCGAACCCGGATTGGCCGCATGCAAGGCAAATGCCCTACCGCTGTGCTATCGCTCCAGTCCCATATCTCAAGTAACTAAAGATAAAGATTTGGAAATTTAACATTTGGTAAAAGTTTTCTCCTCATTGGGCTCGAGGGGTATAGCACAGCGGGGTATTTGTCTTGCATGCTCCTCTCAGAGAGCCCAGCAAGCTACCAAGAGTATCTCACCCGCACGGCAAAGCCTGGCAAGCTACCCGTGATGTATTCGATATGCCGAAAACAGTAACAACAAGTCTCACAATGGAGACATTACTGGGCCCTCTCGAGCAAATCGAAGAACAATGGGAGGACAGTGCTACAGTGCTACAGTGCTTTCTTTCCATTAGAAAATTCGTGACAAAATGTAGATACAAGATAACATATAAGATATGTAAGTGTTAATATTTCTCTGTTTTGGGTGAGCAAACTGTGGCCACACACCAAATACCATGTGTTGCCTATTTTTGTAATAAAGCTTTATGCTCATTTCTTTGCATACTGTCTATGCTGCTTCTGTGCTATAACGGCAATGACATAAAAGTTAATAGTGAGAGAGCTTATGGCCCATAAAGTGAAAAATATTTATCATCGGGCACTTTAAAAGAAAAATCTTCCAAACTTTTCTCCATATTCAATGGAAAAAATCCAAGCACCAGGAAACAAAAATATATTAAATAAAATATATACAATCCTAAGTTTATCTTTAACATGAATTTTATCAATTGATGCTCCCATTCTAAATAAATAATAAATGTATGAAAAGAACAAAACCACTTTTGAAGAAGTTTTTTTTAAAAATTGGTTTACTAGTATTTACCTATACTCTGTAAGTTTGAGCTATCTAGTGTCACACCTTCATAAGTAATATGCAAATGTTAATCTTTATCTTTTCATCAGTGTATAGATCACACCACCAAAAATTAGATAGGACTCCTATATCTTAACAAGTTTATTATATGCTGAAGAAAGCATTTCAAGTATTGATCATCAAGATACATGAAGTTAGAACTGATAAAATTTAAAAGATGTAATTGTACAATCACGGTCACGGTCACAGTCCTCCCGTTGTTCATCGATTTGCTCGCGTAGGCCCAGTAACATCTCCATCGTGTGACTTGTTGTTACTGTGTTTGGCATATTGAATACATCACGTAGCTTGCCAGGCTTTGCCGTGTGGGCGAGATACTCTCGGTAGATACTCTCAGTAGCTTTCCGGGCTCATTCAGCATTTCTGGAGCAAGAGCAATAGTATAGTCATGGACAGGGCACTTGCCTTACACGCAGCCAATCCAGGTTTGATACTCAGTATCCCATTTGGTTCCCTGAGTACTGCCAGGAGTGATGACAGAGTACAGAACCAGGAGTAAGTCC